TATATACTTATATATAATTGTATATGGAACTATGTATAATCCTGCATGGTTGTATATTGCTCCATATATAGTCATATATAATTTTATATGATTATATATGACCTCATATACAGTTCCATTTATAATCATGTATGATTATATATAATCTTGCATGGCTGTGTATAGCTCCATTTATAGTTATGTATAATTATATATGATTATATATAACCTAATTTACTTAATTATATATAAGCATATATAATTATATATAATTATATATGGGACTATGTACAATCTCGCATAGCTGTATATTGCTCTAGTATTATATATAACTATATATAATTATATATAATCTTGCTTGGCTGTATATTGCTCTATATATAGTCATATATAATTATATATGATTATATATAACCTCATATACAATTCCATATATAATCATGTATGATTATATATAATTATATATGATTATATATAATTCTATATAATTATATATGTGATTCCATATATAATCATATATAATCATATATGATTATATACAATTATATATGATTATATAGAAACATTTTTTCTCGGGAAACAACTGTTTTGTACAATAACTTTCCTTGCAATGTTTACATCATGAAACTTGCACTCTTTTTATTGTGGAAGGGTAATGTCCTAGTGCACAGAATATCTTGTTTACAAATCCTTGAGGTCGGGGTGTCCGAATATTGTCACTGTTCACACTTCATCATTGTTGAGATGGTGTGACGCGTTTTGGTCCTCAGACAATTCATCCCCGACAACTCATCCTTTTGACAATTCATACTCTGACAATTTATCCCCGACAATTCATCCCAGCGACAAATCAGACTATTGATTATTGGGTCCAAGATGAATTATTCGCTTTTTGTTTATTTGTTTTTTATTTGTAATATTAGTAATGATTTACACACAAAAACCATGATAAAAGGGCATAACACGGTCAAAGGAATATGTGATGGTCTAATTTCGAATAAATACACACAAAAAACCATGTTAAAAGGGCGCAACACGATTATCCACGTTTATGATGGTCTAATTTCGAATAAATACACACAAATAACCATGTTGAAAGGGCGCAACACGATTATCCGCGTTTGTAATGGTCTAATTTCGAATAAATACACACAAAAAACCATGTTAAGAGGGCGCAACACGATTATCCACGTTTATGATGGTCTAATTTCGAATAAATACACACAAAAAACCATGTTAAAAGGGCGCAACACGATTATCCACGTTTGTGATGGTCTAATTTCTAATATGAAGGATGAATTGTCGGGTATGTATTGTTATTGTATCAATTGTCGCGGGGATTAATTGTCGTGAGGATGATTTGTCGGGGATGAATTGTCGCAGATGAATTGTCTGAGGACCAAAAATCAGCAAACCGTTGAGATCATTAGGATAATTATCTACTAAATATAGCTGATACTTACCTTAATCACCAGCTAAATTTAGGTTTGGAAAACTTTAACTCAAACTTTGTTGAAATTATATGTTGCAATCATCATCATTATATGCATGTAAAGAGGTTAATAACCATCGGAAGTTCCAGAGGTGTCAACAGCTGTGTGGATTTGATGTTTACCTTAAACATAAAAAGACTCGATCTTTTCTATTATTTCTTTCAATAAAACTATCTATCAGTACATTTTGTTTTTGCAGCTACGCATAGCTAAGAATACACACGAATCGCGTAGAAATATCTTCCTTGAATACTGCTGGATCCACATCCGCCAACTACAGCAGTTAATCGAAAATAACCGGAAAGTCATAAAGTATTGTATACAAAATAATGAAGCGATAAGTATTCAAAACTCAGGTGATTTAACATCGAGTGAAAAACGGCTTGTTTACAAATTATCGATTTAAAAATATCCAACTGGGAGCGCGTATAAATACTGAAGCGATAGGATATGCGAGTAGTCTTTCAACAACCGTCGATACACTAAGTATTAAGAACTTAGTATTAGAACAGTCTTTCAAGAAACAATGACAACTATCCAATTTCATCATTTTAACCTTATAAGTCTGTGGAGGAGAGTAAATCAGCCGAATTTTGCGAGCGTCGCTTGGGCAGAACATATTTGGATCATGTCCCTCGAAGAGTCAGGTTCTTGGGAAGTTTTTGCAAAGCTAGAAAATAAGGAAAAAAACCGAAACAGCTTAGTCCCATGTTGGGATCACACTAGGGTTAAGCTGACTGCCGATGATTCTGCGTCAGACTACATCCATGCCAATTATGTCGGTGGATTTGAAGAAAAGAAGAAGTTCATCTGCACCCAAGCACCGAAAATCAACACATTGGTCGACTTCTACCGGATGGTCTGGAATGAAAATAGCCGCATCATCGTCATGCTAGTGAATGTGAGTTCCAGTTGCTGTCAGTATTGGCCTTCCAAAAACGATGAGACTCTGCAAGCTGGTCAGTTCACGATAAAGAGAACGAACGAAGAAACCTTCTTTAACTATGTTGCGACGGACTTGACTATAAGTGTTGGATCTGAAGTATCTCGTAAAATCCGCCACTTTATGTTTACTGGCTGGAGAGAAAATGACGTTCCTGATGACGTAGCTCAGTTTTACCGGTTTGTGCGAAGAACCAATCAAAGTCGCGCAGCAACCGTACGATCAACGAAGCTGAATCAAGGTCGACCAGGGCCTATCATTGTACACTGTGACACGGGGATTGGCCGAACTGGGACCTTTTGCACCGCAGACATCGCGGTCTTGAAGATGATGAAGACCGCAACGATATCAATACCAGAAATTGTTGCTCGTGTCCGACAACAAAGACATTCCAGTGTGATCACGTTTGAACAATACTTTTTTTGCTATCGTGTTTTAATACACTTTTTGTCGCTTATGTTTCAGAAATTAACTGGTACGAAAATCAAAATACCTAGATTATAAATTAGATTTTTTTACAATAGCATTTTAACTTCTCTGATTTTCTCAGATTTCTATTTGTCATTTTTGTTTAGAACTGTATACACTGATAAGTGATACCCTTGAACTGTTATGCAAATGTCAAGTATACAGAGATTACAGAGCTGTTCATTCGCAGCTCTGAATTATTCATTATCGGACCGTGCGGTTTGACGTATACTTTGCGGTTCAGAACTCATAAAGGACATAAAAAGTTGATATACTTCTGAAGAAATGGAAGTGCCAAATTTTGTAACTTGCTTGGAGGAAGTACTAACGGAAAGGAATAGTGAAGGTGAAAATTTTTTTCATGAAGCAGCCAGATGTGGAAGTTTCTCAATTATAGCAAGATTCACGCCATTCATCAGGGGTAATTGTGTAGCAGCAGCTCTGAACACAACTAACATTGCCGGACAAATGAGTATCCACGTAGCAGCAGTGACTCATGAAAAATGGTACGCAGCAAAGTTGATTGACATCTTGGTCGAATTGGGAGCTGATATTAATGGACAAGAAAGTGTTGAAGGTAACACCGCTCTTCATCTAGCAGTAAATCGACGTGATTACCAGCTAGTTGAGTGGCTTTGCTGTCAACCAGGTATAGATTTGAAGCTTTGCAATGCAAAAAACCTTTCGCCATTTGAGTTAGCGCAGATAAATAGAAATAAGATGATGCAAATTCTGAGAAAGTATTATTCTAACGAAAACACCGATCTAGTGTAAGTTAAACGCTGTCCTTGTTGAATCGGAACATGATAATGTAATATTGTCTAATAAAGATATTGATGGATATTGTGTTTTTTTCCATAACTACCATAACTCCCTTGTCAGTAAAAATAAGAAAATATTTCACTGAACTATGGATTGAACCCTAGTCTATAAGATCGTAAGCCCATTCTGTGAACACTAGGGTAGTCCAGTAAAATTCTGATACCAATTTTGAAGCACATATTTTTATAGGAAATTATATTGTCTATCAAAAAAACTCTGATATATTTTTTTCATAATCTTAAGAAATAAAACGTAGCCCAGCTTGGAACTCTCGCAATTAAATAAAATCTAACCGAGTATGATTTGAGATTCCAAATAATATCACAATAGATAGGATTATGTAATCAATCATCAATTTATGTGTGAATTATTAATACGAAATTCTATAATAGCATATTTCATAGTCAGAATACTAAGGAACTCGTTTTGCGACACGGTTGTTTATCGACACGGCGCAAACGCACAAAGTTTTAAAAACTGTATATAAACTGAACTAAAGTAACCATAACTGTACTAGACGTTCAGCAAGCATTTTGTCTGAAAATTTAAAAGAGCTTGACTGTAGCTCTCATAATAAGACGCGATTTCTATTATAACACGGGTGTGTCGTCCATTGCGTTATGCCGGTGGAAAACGATGGAATCTATTTTGATTTTCCTTCTAAGCGCCAGTCGATAAACACCCATTTAGGGTTCGCATCGCAGCCGTCATAAAGTGTACAAAACAGGTACGCGTTGAATAAAATTACTTTTTGGACTACCCGAGTGAACACGCAACCAATGCATGATACGAGCTGACTTTGGCGCTCGGATATAATCATTGTACATGTTCTGCGCATATGAGTGAAACAACGCATGATATCGTTAGTATCAAAACAACTTTGAGTCAAAAATAGATCTGGCGTGAGTGTTGAAAACGTAAGATACGTTCTAGACTGTGTTATGTAAAGAAATTTTTCTTTACATATTTATTAACTATAAAAATCGAGTATGATTTTATTTAAATTTTAACGATTGTAAAAGATAATTCGAGTGCGGTCATTAAGTGTCTCGTTCGATTTTTGCTAAAGGCCCAGGGAAATTTCGGTAATTAGTCTGAGGGCCGAGGTATATTTAAGAGATTAAATTGATGAATGGGAGTTTTGTTATACGTAAGCAAACTCACTTATACTTAAAATAAGAAATACTTAAAGATAAAGAACATTAGATAAAAAGATTTATTTTAAACCAAAAGATTTTAGAATAACTTAATAAAACAGAAATATTTCTACAAATAAATAATTAAATTCAAGGAAACGTAAGAAATGTTAGATTCGAGTACATATTTATTCATATGATTTTAATAAATAAATTAATGTAGACAGTACAGATGTATGTCTTTGTCTATGCGTAAATGCGCTTACGTAAACGCAAACACATAGATGAATAATAGAACATAATAGTAAGTAAGAAGGCATGTTGCACTCTGACCCAAGTAGAGGGACATGCAACATTTTTAGGCAAATTTAAGAGAGAGGGTAAGGGCCCGAGAAAATAGACAAATAATTCTACAAATAATAACAAATAATCTCTCTCGTTGTCCTGACGTCCTAGTGTTAACATCGTACATAGTTTAAATAAGTCTCAATAGACCACGTGTAAATCTATTGTATAAAAAGTAAAACATTTGTAAAGGTAAAGTAAAATTGTAAAGTGAAACCAACTAAAATAAATTAAATCAACAAGGTTCATCAAATTTTTTATCAGGTATATTTGTGAATTATTAATATTTGTGAATTTGGTAATATTGTAAAATCGTTATATGAAAGAAAAGTTAACTTCAATCACTGTGTAATAATTGTAACTATTGTAAATTAACTAATGATATTAATTTTGGATTTAAACAATATAATAGATGTATTAAAATTATTCAACTACATCAATTTATTCAAACAAACTTATCATTCTCAATAAACTAAAACTCGGAAGTTCCCGGTCTATTAGCCTAACACGCTAGGACCAAATACTTAAACACATTAAATATTTTAAATGTAAAATTAATTAATTACCCTAAATTAAATATTTTTTACATAACAACTGTATGGATCCTGAAAATAACTCTAAATCCATTTTCTGACTAGATTATTAGAAGTATTTTTTTCGTAGTAATTTTTTTCGATGAGGCTTTCTTTTCTTTTAAAATTGATTATTTCATGGAGTCATCAAGTGATGTATTTATAACCTATTGTAATTTCGTATACCAAGCTAATGAATAGAGGCTAGTATCATAACGTTCTTATGTTTAGCGATAGAGTGCTACTTTGAGAGTTGTAAATTGTCAAATTGCCATAGACAATGGGTTCAATATATCAATCGTCTTGATGCAGTAAAGTACTTCTAGCATAACATCTATTAGAATTGCGCAACTCAAAGTTAAACATGTTTTTGGTTAATTGAAATTCATAGGTCGGTAGTGATTTTTAAATTCTTTTGTTGTCTGGAAATTTGAGTTACTAGGGGGTTACTGAACGAGCTACTTTCGACTGAATATAAACTGCGTTGACAAGATTCCATTATCAGTATCCGGGCATCCTTCGCCAGAACTTCTCCTTCCCAGTAGTTTTAAATCAAAACAAAGCAATGGAAAAGCATGTGAGTTAAATTCCCCTTAAATATTATGTTGTCGTTAATAAACTATGTTTGTTAGATAAATCTCCGATTCTTCATAATCCAATAACTTTTATATTATTTCAGATGAATAAAGATCGGCTGATTGCGATTACCCTACAAGAACTTCGATTCTGCCGTAACAAAATTGTTATATTGTGTCACGTGAAACAGCAGTTACGACAACGATTAGATTCTTACCGCTTCCAAAACCGAGTCATCGCAATTGATAACGAAATTACAATTCTAAAACATAAAGTAGTTATCTTGAACAAAAAGTTAGTAAGTCCAAAGCTGCATGTTTTTAGCATTAACTATATAGCAAAATTACTAAGTTGAGTAATAACTTATAACTCTTTAACTATTTAAATACTTTAACTATAAGAGTTTATCAATCACTTAATGTCATGTGTGGTTATCGTGACATTTTTACTTCCAGACTTAACAACTTAAGGCATGTAACAACCATAATGGAACTCATTCAATAATGAAACAAGAACTTACGCTCAAGCAACGTTGTATGAGTCACGTTTAATATATTACCTAGAGTATGACAAAATTGAGAATAATGATTGAAGTAAATAGAATACAATTATATGCGCATAAATATATTTTTCAATTTTGCATTGTTTTTTTTTCAAATTTCCCGGATAGTAACGACAATTAGGCAGATTAGCCGAGTCGCCTTTTCAACGTCACGATTTTAAAGTTATGATAATCCTCGAATCGTCTCTAGTGACTAGTAGGAGAAGGGTGAATCAAAATATACTGTGAGCACCCTTCCACTAATTTTAACCGTACCTGTCAGACGATATCAGTGCTGTAGTTGAAAAAGTTTGGTTGGTTCGGTTCTGCATAGCAAATCACTTACTACGCCGTATTATTGCACAAAGTTACTACGACTTTGGTGCAGGTGACCGACAGATGTCCTTTAGTTCATTCACTTGTTTACATTCCGTTGCACAATAAGATATAACGTGCACGATGTTCTTCATCTGACCTGAGTTTATTACAAAAATTCCCAAGTTCTGAACATTAACATACACGTCTCTCTTGCTCTGGAGACACTTTCATGCGCGCTATTGGTCACTGGTATCTAGGGTGCGAATTAATTTTATCATACAGTGCTAATTCATCTTCCTTTTTTCGTTACTAGAATATGCGCTGCTAGTTCAAGGCAAGCCGTGCCAGATAAATAACGCGTGCTAGCGCTACAGGTTTATAGTCTACCTAGGCACTACTTGTTATTCATATCGGTTTATACAAATAGTTTTATTTTTGCCAATCAAGATGATGCGAAGTGTGAGTATACGTTTATCTATGGATATATTTCACTTATACTGTTTTTTCATCCATGTCAAGTATTCTGACTACATTTCGGAAGCTAGGTTAAGCCTTCAAACTTAGGCTACACAGTTCCGGAAATTTCTTCTTAGCTAAAAAGTGTTAATTCTTGTTGGAGCCCTTCGTGCGTGAACTCACTGGAGCCCAGCGTCGAATGATTGAAGTGTACCGTGAGAGAATCATGGTGTTAAAGCAGAATAAGATACGGCTGCTTCAACAACGAGATTCTCCTAGCAAAAAAATCGAAATTGACAGAGTCGACAAACAAATCAGAACAAACAAGGATGCATTATTACGGATATACGCCAAAAGTTTTTTATTTATTATATCACCTCACCAATAGCATTTATAGTAAAAGTATTTTCAATTGTTTAAGCTATGAACCTAATAATGATACAAGGCTTAGGCAAATTTGTTAAGCTCTCTTTTGATAATAAAATTAAGGAATTTCCAGAAAACATTTGATTAAATCATAAATATTCAAAAATGCGGATACAGGACGATTGTGTCAAAATATAAGGAGACCAAAATATATGAACTTACTATTATTTTAACACAAACACATTTCACACGCTACCAAATTTAATGCCTATCACTCTCAGATTTTATGAGCTTCGAATTGTAAACATGCCCTCTAATATCAATTGACTAGGTCGTGGATATTTTTATGTATTCGTCGGAAATCAACCAGTTTGCCAAATGATTTAGTTAGAAGTAGACTCAGAGACATATCGTGTGTTGAGCGTAATTTATATACAGAATCAAATTAAATCATATCTGAGAGATATTTTTAATTAAGCGGTTTTGTGTTGCATACGATTATTTGACGGAAATCAAAATGTCAAAAAAAGTAAGCATGTTATTATATTTTTTTTCTCTTATTCAACTTATAGCTTTTTTCATAAGTATGTATTCATGAATTTCTTGTCTACTACAGACATGTGTGGATCCAATGACTACTCCCATGAAGCAAGAAATCATGTTTCGCCTCAACAAGATCTATGGTTTGAAACAAATACTGTTACAACTTCTTAGGCTGCCCTTTTCGCCAGCTGTCAAGCACGAGATCAGTAGAATAAAACACGAAATTTTAAGTCATAAAAATCATATATTGAAAATATACCATCGGTGTAATTTTCATCCTTTAGATGTCGAATTGTTATGATTTAGTAGGTTCTTGGTCAATAAATCTTTCAAAAAAAATATCATTTTTACTTTATCTTGTAACTGAAAGAAACCGAACTTATGTCGACATAAAAAGTGTTAGACTACTAGTTAATATAGAAAAGTATGATATGAGTATGAAATATCTATCTGCGAAATAAGGAGTTTTAGTAGAGCCAAATCACCAACCGGAAACCACTCAATATTTTGATAAAAGCTAATCTAAAAAATAAAATTTTCAAACAAAGGTTCATTTGGAATAACTTTTTAATGACTTTACCGATCGATTCCAAAAACTAATCAGCCCTTAACCTCGAAAAACCACGTCGATTGCCACCGGCCCGGCCAGAATCGGTTGATTCGTTCCGGAGATATCGTTGTCGAAAAAATAAAAAAAAATGTTTTTTTCAGAATTTCTATGAAATTTTAAGTCAAAGCAGTTTGTGCTTTGAAATTATCCAAAGGACTTAGAAAACTGCGTTGAATGCCGTAAACCGTGAGAAAATCGGTTAGTCCCGTTACCAGCATATTTTTTCTCGCATATTCTATACACTCACATTAAGAAGTTCCTCTCCACAATCCTTTCTCAATCCTTTCCTACCAAAATATCCTGTTACGTGAATATTGGAACGCTTCACGTAATAATTATCCGTAACTCCTATTCTTTCCCGCTTCACAGCATTATTTATATTTGTTAAAAATGCTAACCGTAAGATGGACGGTGTGACTTAATGTATATAGAATAAGTGAAAGGAAATTTAGTATAGACCGGATAGCTCAAATGGTAGAGTAGCCGACATGTCTTCGGAAGGTTCTGGGTTCGTATCCCAGTCCGAGCTATCTAATAATTTTTTCTCGCATATTCTATACACTCACATTAAAAAGTTCCTCTCCACAATCCTTTCTCAATCCTTTCCTACCAAAATATCCTGCTACGTGAATGTTGGAACGCTTCACGTAATAATTATCCGTAACTCCTATTCTTTCCCGCTTCACAGCATTATTTATATTTGTTAGTCAGTCAAAGTCAGTCAAAAGTTATTGCAGTTTGAAAATTCATAAAATAAGTAGTGTTGGATGAAACTTCTATCAGACTTTTGAGCTTAAATTAAAAAGCTCAAAAGCGTAGAACAGCTATCTTTTTGAGCTCGGAGAGCTCAAAACAACACAAAAATTATATTTTTGAGCTCGAAGAGCTCAAACACAAAGTACGTAAAATGTTGAGCGTTTATAGGTATGGAGTTAGCGGGAAGTTACAGGGATGCCCTTTAAGGTTAACCGTTTTCCTAATTTTTTTTTTTAATTAAATAGTATAGGTCAGCAATTTGAATTCTTTAAAGTATTCAGAAATTGGTACTTTCACGGTTTCTTTGCAAAATAACTAGTGAATGCATTAATTTGTAAAATTTTGGTGGATTGTATCTGAAAGCTTAATGAATGAGTTTTATTTGGCATATCTAACCATCGGTCTAAGCCAAAAATCACCTACTTTCTTTGTCTATCTAATGAAATTTTGCTCTTGCATTCGTTTTACAGTAGATAATTAGCTTATTAATAATTTTAAAATCATTATTTTAGTCATAATGAACATACACGGATCAAAATTGTAACATCTGTGGTTATCTTGACATTTTTTCTTCCGGACTTAATAACTTAAGGCATGTAAAAACTGTAATGGAACTCATTCAATAATGAAACAAGAACTTATGTTTAAGTAACGTTGTATAAGTCACGTGTATATTTATGAATCTCTTGTCTACTACAGCCATGTGTGGATCCAATGACTACTCTCATGAAGCAAGAAATCATGTTTCGCCTCAACAAGATCAATGGCTTGAAACAAATACTGTTATAACTTCTAAGGCTGCCCTTTTTGCCAGCTGTCCAGTATGAGATCATTAGAATAAAATACGAAATTTTAAGTCATAAAAATCATATATTGAAAATATACCATCGGTGTAATTTTCATCCTTTAGATGTCGAATTGTTATGATTAAGTAGGTCCTTGGTCAATAAATCTTTCAAAAAAATTAACATTCTTACTTTATCTTGTAACTGCAAGAAACCTGAGCTCATGTCGACATAAAAAGTGTCAAAATACTAGTTAATATAGAAAAGTATAGCATGAGTATGAAATACTCATATCTATCTGCGAATCAAGGAGTTTTAGTAGACCGAAATCATTCACCAGACACCACTCAATATTTTGATAAAAGGTAAGTTACTAATTGTACATTTGTGCAACTTTATCAAACGCGTTGTATTCAAATAATTCGTACACTATTGTTCAATTTTGTTTTATACATTTTACTCACAAAGTGTCGACCATAATTTCGCAATAAAAATTCTGAAAGCATGTCAAAGACCAAGTCGATGTATATTGATAGTGGTATAAATTAATAAATTGAAGACGTTGAGTATATAAATAGTCAATCAAAGAACAATATTTTTTAGTTCACTGTGAACCCTCCCCAAGACAAGTCAATTTGACGTAAAAGAACTTTTCACAAAATACAATGGAATTGAAACAATTATGTGATCTAAATCCTAAAAGTCTGTGGAAAAAAGCGAGTCAACCGAATTTTGCAAGTCTTATTTTAGAAGAATATTGTGGGATCATCAACGCACAAGTGTCAGGAACTTGGGAAGCTTTTGCGAAGCCAGAAAATAAGGAAAAGAACCGAAACAACTTAGTTCCATGTTGGGATCACACTAGGGTTAAGCTAGCTGCCTATGAATCTGCATCAGACTACATTCACGCTAATTATGTTGACGGTTTTCAAGATAAGAAGAAGTTCATCTGTACTCAAGCACCGAAAACCAACACATTGGTCGACTTCTATCAGATAGTCTGGAATCAAAACAGCTGCATCATTATCATGCTGGTGAATGTGACATCCAGTTGCTGTCAGTATTGGCTTTCAGAAGAAGATGGCACTCTGCAAGTTGCACAGTACATAATCCGAACATTGAAAAAGAAGACATTCTCGAATTACATTGTGACAGAATTAAGTGTCACTCATGAATTTATTGAGCGTCAACGTAGAGTCTACCATTTTTTGTACATTGACTGGACGGAAGATGGCAATTTTAACGACGTGGGAAAATTTTACAAGTTTGTGCTAACAATCAACCATATGCGCAAGGTTGTACAAACAAAGATGTTGAGTTGCTGTGAAATAATAGGACCTATCATTGTGCACTGTTGCACGGAAATCGGAACAGCTGGAGTTTTTTGTGTGATTGACTACGCCCTTCATCAATTGAAAAAAAGTGCAAAAATATCTTTACCAAAGATCTTGATAGGCATCCGACAGCAAAGGCATTCAAGTGTTGTTATTCTAGATCAATACTTGTTTTGTTACCGTGTGGTGCTACATTTTTTGGCAGAAACAAATAATCGACTGCGTGACAAAGAGAAAATGGGTCTTCTGAGAACTTCGTAAAATTAAAAATCTTAGCTTCCACTGTGAAACTCCAAATTGGACTTGCTGAAGTGTGGAATGTGGGTTACCGCAGTAAAAGCTTCGATTCTGCATTGTATTCAGCTCTAATCGAGACACTACTATGCCGAATTATATTATTATAGTGTAAATATAACAATCTTGACGCTTTCACTAATATAAATTAGCATGGAAATGTTAGATATCAAATTTTCACATAAACTATAATTAAAATTCAAGGTTTGGTTTTTATGATACACAAATAACGTCTTCGTTCTAAGATATCATAATTAATCTAAGCTTTAAATATAGATACGAAAATAAAACGTGTCAGTTGCAGTACGCAAAATATTTAAAAACCTTTGATTATCTAGCACAAAGTAGTTTAGAAAGATATAGTCGTGATCCTACAACAGTTACTTTGTTTACAGCCCAAAATGTCTACAGCTGTCATTCAACGAGAACTTCGAGACTACCAAGACAAAGTTAATGCATTAAAACTCGCTATATTGGAGTTAAAACGGCAGCCAGATTGTCCAGACATCCAAGCCAAGATACGTACCATTGAAAGTAAAATAGCAAGTTATCAGAGTTCAATCGTGCGAATAAACAACATCTGTAAAGGTTACTATTAAACAATCTTATGTTGCATTGTGAGTTTTATTTGTTCTGATCCATTTTCAAAAAGTAATAAGTAATTACGGTGAAATCTTCACAAAGTCATAACTATATTTCAAAATCAGAATTGAAGGATATAGTAGAACTATTTATCAAGTCAAAAACTTGAAATCATACAAAATTTTCATATCTAAGTTGGACAGACTGAAAAAACCTTGTTTGTACTGGTAGTTTTTGTGAAAAATTAGTATTTTCGAGCAAATTATAATGTTACAAACGACTAACGCGTTGAAAAGATCTTGTTACATATGCTATGATTGTTAACATTAGATTCGGTGAGCTATTCAAACCACGCCGGGGTTATTTTCGTGGCGAGTTAGTTTGTTTCTTTCGATAGAGGCTATTTACATACACGTGATAATAAGTTGGGATAGTAACTTTTAGTTCGGCTGCTAATTTGAAAACTACACACGTAATAACATATTTTTACCAACATAGTATCTACTAAAATGCTGCGGAAGATCATCGATCTGTCACAATTTATGATTTGAAGCAAAAAAAATTCGCTCGACACGTTTTTTCTATCTAGTTCTATCATGAGCGATTGTTGTTTTTTTATGAAAAAAGTCGCGAGTATTGCTAGTTTTCATTTTCGAAGTTTAGATAACTTATTATTCACTTGTAAAGATAATAAAATAAATTAACGTAATATGCTTTTGACATTCAATATCTTTTGTTGGGTACACATGATAAGCAAAAGTATAAACAACATTTAGTTAAGAATATATAAATATGTAACCGAGTTATTATATTTTCATATCAGACTCCCGAAATAATAAGTGAGAACTAGACGTGTTGTGAAACACAATTAGTGAAAACGCAATGAAGCTCATCGATTGTGAAGTTATTACCTTGGAAAGTTTGTGGGCAAAAGCGAATCAGCCAAATTTTTCAAGCTTAGTTTGGGAAGAACACCATTGCATTATATCTACTCAAGAGTCAGGCACATGGGAAGCTTTTGCGAAACTAGAAAACAGGGATAACAGTCATGAAAAAGAGAACAAAAATGCTCGATAACCAATTACTAACGAACAATGGTGAAATTGAAATAATATTACCGACCGATTAGAACATAAATTCATTAAAATGAAAAAACAAAAATATATTCTTGAGTGTTTATTAGTGATGCCATACTATTTTTCGTTATTTTCATTAAAAAAAAAAATTTATCACTTGTTAACTTTATGAACATTAGATCGACGGTCCTCTGAATAAGATCCTCTTGAAAAACTAGCTAATTAACAACAAGCCTTTTGAACTATACAAAAGTCACTAGGTTTGTCTGTTTAGATAAATGAACTGTAAGATTGCTATTCTGTCTGACCTTTATGATTCGGTAGTAAAAAAAGAAGAAAATAGACATTGGTATGCGCATAATGATTATGACTTGAAAAACTTTGCATAAGCGTGATATTGGGATAACTCTATTTTACACCTTATACTTCTAATAAATAGCGTTCTTTTTAAAAAGATGTGCGACTATTAATCTATATATATATATATATATTGTTTATGATAGTAAACAAATTTGATATCTATTCATTTAAGAATTTAAATACGTGAAGCAAATTAATTTTAAGTTCAAGGTCACGCGTCCATCATATATAATCAAAATCAACGTTCACTTTAATTCAAAACCGTTCCTTATCGAGTCATCTTGTTCTTAGAAGTGCTTTTTTCGAAAGTAAAAATGAACCAGCACGTGAGTACGCAATTTCCTTTTATCCCTAATTCATTTGGTGTATAGCTATTGAAAGTCTTTAATTAACCGTAGTACAAGCACATCTTCAGTAGGAATTCCTTGACAATATAGTTGCATAATATCAGGTTTACAAGGCAAAAACATTGTGATTTTGAATTTCAATGAAGTTTATACGCTTATGTCATATCATTTACGAATGTTGGGTCGAATGTAATCTTTCTTAAGTTGTGCGTTCTCTCAAGTTGGCAGAATACAGTCATCCATGATAAACATTGCGTTATTATTTTTTTTTTTAACGAATCAGAAAAGAGAGATCTAGTTATAAGTTAATTATAACAACAAATATTTTTTGTTGCAGTCTCATACGAATCAGCTACCTGATCAGATAGAATTTCAAAGATATCTGATTTGCAGCCATATCGCCTTCTTGAAACAGTACAAAAATCAACTTCAACAAATGCCGAAATCACTTTCTATCCTAGAGAAGATCATTGTAGTTGATAGACAAATTGCAGAATATGAGCATAAACTACAACAAATAAGTAATTTTTCTTACGGAAACCATTAAACAATTGAATATCATAAGAATGTTTCCGTTAATTCATTTCTACTACTGTTTTTACATAAAATAAATCCTCTACTAAAGATATACATTCATAAAACAACAACAAACATGATTGTTGCAGTCTAAAATGAACCAGTTACCTGATCAGGTCCGACTTGAAATAGCTTGGCACCGTAGTTACATCATTTCACTGAGACGGGTCAAACTTCAGCTTCAACGAGAACCATTTTCACTTCTTATTCGAAAAGAATCATTGCAATTGAAAATGAAATTGAAGAACATGAAAAATAGGTTACGAAATATGAATCGTGTTTTTAACAGAACTGATTAAGTATTCACAAGTTATAATCTTATAATAATATTGTTATTTATTTGATTCTATTGATTTTTTCCAATGATTGGTATTTTGTCATGATCTGCATAGTGAGCTTGTCTTTGCATTAGTGATTGTAATCATCAAGTCAAATACTTGGAGCTCAGCAGAGTTTTTTTTTGTTAAGGTATCATGAAGTATGATTCGTCTATTACTAATTCAATTCTCAGCGGTAGAGTTATATTATTTGAAAATCAGGCATTCGTACTAGAATATCCTTGATAAATTTAAGCTATGTTAATCCTAGATGAGCGTAACGTCACCTAACAACTACTCAACCTATAGAGACTCGCTATAGTGCGAACGAGAAACTAAAAAAGAAGTGAACAATCTAGGGTTAATAGAATCTTTATCAATTTATAACAACCCGAGAAAAAATGTTTCTATATAATCATATATAATTGTATATGATCATATATGATTATATATGGAATCACATATATAATTATATAGAATTATATATAATCATATATAATTA